ACCAAACTAGAAAATCAAGAAAGAACATGAAAATGACTGCGCAGAAACGTTGTCGGTAAAACGTTGGCGGCTTGTTTTTGGAGAAATGGTTACCAAAGCACGGACTGATACAGAAAGCGACAACTTTCTAGTAATAGTTGTTTAATTTACCTAAAGTCTGGTCTCTATAGTGCCTTTTATACAAGATATTAAAAATAAAGTATATGAACTAAAATCAATTCTAAAATAGGAAATATGATGAAATTATAAGGTATAGATAAGGTGAGAATGTGATAATTCTCCTAAAATCATATTACTTAATCATCAGAAAGATGAAATTGAAATTCACTTTCTAAGTATATGAACTAAGTACACTAAAAGTTAAAAAGTTAAAATTCTCATCAAATTATTTAAGAAAAGTATGATAATGTATTTTAATGTAAATTTTTTTAGACTATGTTTAAATATTCATATTTGTCTAGTTTTCATCAATTTTAATTGATTCTCTAAATTTTTTTATTCTTAATTAGGTTTCAGTGTTTGAGTGTTTGAAAATTTGATGTAATTAAGTATATTCTGTTAGTAATTATCAATTATGTTAAAGATATGTATGTGTTATTTTATTTCTTTTTCTAATTTATTAATTTTTATATTTTTAACTTTTATCTCATTTAAAAAAATGTCTTACATATCAATTCTTCTTCGTACCACACCACATGACACTCTCAATGTGATGTGACATTAATGATATTATGTATAAGTGTCAGTGTCACATGTCTTTAATTTATTTTATTTCGTATTTTATTTGATTTAATTAAATTTTAAATTTTTTTTAATAGAAACAATTTTATTCTTCAAATTAAGACCACATTTAATATTATTAAATGTTATATAAATACTTTTATTAGAATCAAAATTATTATTAAATTCTTTTAAATTAGTTTTAAAACAACTCTAACATTTATATAAAAATTATTAAGTGCTATACTGCATATTTTATTCTTATAAAGTTATAAACAATTATTTAGAATATAAATTCAAATAAAAAAACAAGATTAAAGTATGATGTTATAAAATATCAATACAAATAAATTAAAAATTTTAAAACCAAATTTAAACTAAGTTAATATAAAATATGTTTTGATTAAGTTGGGATGAGGATTTCGCCTGTGAAGTTTTCTATCTCTGTCGACTTTCTCTTCGCTTCTTGTTTTGTGTAACTGATCGGTGAAGGAGTGACCTGCATAATACATTCCGACGCTTAAGTCAGATTTTTTCTCTGAGGTCTATGATAGTTTAATTTAATGAGTCAAAGTGACTTACCTCGAAATTAAACCCCTATTTAGAGTTTATAAGAAATTACCAATTAATTTATCTCTTAATGGTCATTAATGCCAACCTTAACCACTCATCAGTAGCTGTTGTAATATTAACTGCATATTAACTCTGTTTAACTGTTGCAAAGATCGAATCGTTGCGAGACTCTTTTCTACGCTTGGATCACTCATTCCTTTAAAACCAATATGTGATCCTACCGATCGAAGGGCTAACCCATAGTAACAAAATAATAAATTTAATATTCACATTTAAATAAAATATAAATTTATAAAATTGAATTATAAGTAATTTAATAGATAGTTAATCTTATACATTTATAGTTCAATACTAGATATCATTACTTTCTTTATAACTATGTCAGTAATTCAATATTTGAATACTTTTATTACTTTTTTTCTATAATTAGAATATGTTCAATTATAATAAGTTTGACAACAAAATAAAACCATTACGAAATTATAGAATAGAAAGTTAAACATAAATATAATAATTATATTTTAATAATATAATTAGAGTTAATTTTAAAATATTTTCAAAAATATTTAATAAATGTTAACCTTTTGTATAACATTATATAATTAAATTAAATTTGGAGAAAAAAGTTTACCTATTAAAACAATTAAAATTAATTAAATCAAAATAACAAATATAATGATAATTGAATATAAGACATATGATACTATATTAAATTGTGACACTACTACGACCACGTTACACTAAGAGTGTCACGTGCACGATATTTTTTTTTACGTTATGAATTGATAGTTGTTGATAATATTATATAATTATTTAAAAAAAATAAAAATTGAAACCTCATTAAGACTAAAATATAATTGGAAACCAATTTAAAATATTGTAACGAAAATTAGAAGGAAATGAATATTTAAACATTTAGACTAGCATAAACTTTACACTATCACTTAATTAACAAGGGTTAAATATGTTTTTAGTCCCTCAAGTATCACGCGATTTTGGGTTTCTCCGTCTTCCAAAATTTGTTCATTTTTTATCATCTTCCTTAGGAAACCGATTTTTAGTCCTCAAAAAGCAATGACAATTAAATTTTCTCTGAGGTGACTAACAATATGCCACATTACTTTTCCTTTTTCTGAAATGTGTCAATCCTTCATTCATGCATCTTCACTATAGCAATTGTCTCCCTTTACACCGACCAGACCGCACCAACATCTCTTCGCTCTGTCTCCATCACTGGCGAGTACATCGACCTCCTCTACTACCACGACACCCATCTCATGTGCATATCTGCGCAGGAGGTCATCGCGACCGTCGTTTGCGCCAAACCCTTCCTGTTGATCATCATAATGGATCTACCTGATCCTCACGGCCGAGGACATCCACCATGGAGGACTTATTGCGCCATTTGCAGCTTCCACTATTTCACCTTCCCCTCCAAGGTCGGTTACACCCTCCCCTATGCCTGGGTTGGGAACTCCGACAGTCATGTATTTTACATTATTATTTACCTTTTGTAAAAGGGGAAAATATTAATAATAGCTAGGTCATTTAATAAGCTTTAAACCTTTATAATATTGAGTTTCTAATTAGTTAATGGAAAATCATCACAACCAAACTAATTCTACAATAATAAGTGTGATATTAGATCACTAGAAAATACAAACATATAATGGTGAAGAAGAACTTTCTATTTCTAACAATTTCTTTGTTCAAACACCTCGCACGCACTTGATCTAGGTGCAGAAGTTCGGTTTCTTTTCTTTTTTGTTCTTGATGAGAAAGATTGAAATGTGGGGTATGCAAGTTCTTTGTTGACAATGTGCCAATGAGGGTGTTCAATAACAACAAGGACTTGAGAGTGAAGTTTCCATTCGACCAACCAATGAAGATATACAACAGTTTGTGGCATGCTGATGACTAGGCAACAAGGGGTGGTTTGGAGAAAATAGATTGCTCGAAAGTTCCTTTCATAGTAGTGTACAAGGGGTTCCACATCGATGGGTGTGAGGCCTTTGTAAAAATGCTAAGTTCTACAACACATAAGGCAAGAGATGGTGGGACCAACCAGAGTTCTGTGACCTTGACGCTTCTCAATGACAAAGACTCAAATGGATGCGTCAGAAATTCACCATCTACAACTACTGCACTGACAGAAAACGCCACCCTCAACTTCCCCCTGAATGCAGAAGAGACCATGACATTTGAATTTTTACACACTTCTGTTACCATTTACTTTTACCACATTGTTATCACTTTCATGTACAATTTTATATCACGTCAAATCTATGCATTGACACTTTATTTATGAATTGAAACTTGCTTCAAATAAAAAAATAAAAAAATAAAAATTGTTTTTCTTAAAGAAAAAAGGTTTTGATGTGCATGTTTATCCTTTGAAGTGTAGCCACAGGTTTGTGGTATTATTTATTATTATTATTATTATTATTATTATTGTTGGTTCTATTGGTTCTATTGGTTCTTGGTGATAATAATGACATCCTTGTAGAACCAGTTTACTTTTTTTGTAGAATGTGAGAGGAAGAAACGAGACAGAGGAAGGAAAAGGTATTCGTCGGTGATGAAGACGGAGCGGGAGATGTTAGCGCCGATCTGGTCGGTGAGGAGGGATTTGTCACCAGTTAGAGACGGAGGGAGAGGGGATGACCCGACGATGAAAATAGTTGAAGGATGATGGAGATGAATAAGGGAGGGAGAGAAGCTTCAGCGTGAAGATGTAGGAAGAAAGGATCCACGTTTCAGAAAAAGGAATAGGGATGTAGCACATCGTTAGCCACCTAAAAGAAAATTTAACGTCGTTGCTTTTTGAGGACTAAAAATTCGAGTTTCCTAAAAAAGAAGATAAAAATAAACAAATCTTTGGAAGATGGACGAAACCCAAAATAACATAATACTTGAGGGACTAAAAACATATTTAACCCAATTAACAATTATCATTTATATAACTTTTGAATAATAATATAAAACTATTTTGCGTTCTAACTCAATATGATTGACGTGGAATCTATTTGTTACGTGTTGTTTTTTTCCTTTCCTTTTCTCTTATGAATGTAATTGATTGCCTTACGTAAAGGGGAATTTTTATTTGATGTTATAAAGTCAACTTCCCTGATTATAGTTATCTTAGTGACTGCCAAACAAATTTCACCTTCTTACGTTATGATGTAATGACCTTTCCCAAATAAAAACAAAAAAACTCTCCCTTTCCCCTTTTTATTTAAAAGGGCTAAGCATACGTTTAACTTAGCTTCTACCAAAGTTTGTATGATTAAATTGACAAATATTTTTGTTTTTTGTGAGAATTTTTTAGTTAACATAGTTGAAGTCACACAGAATAGATATATAAAAAAATTAAAATAAACAAATAGTTATAATTTAGACCTTATCATCTCTTTGCTCTATTGTTTTAAGATTGATGAATTAGATTTAAAGTTGATTAATTATTATAATATAAAAGTCTATCCCAACATAAAATCCCATCCCATTTTGTGACTGTTTTCCTGTCTTGTTAATAAAGTAATAATTAACATCTTCAAAAAGTTGATGAAAAAATTGTTGAGGATCTACACTTTGTACGAACCCTATGCGGCAAGCACGCCGAATGCGACCATTTAGTGCGAGAGAAGAAGTCTCTCGGGAAGCATTCAACAAAATAAAAACTAAAAAAAATGAAACCAAAGAACAAAAAATGACTATAAACACTGTGTGAATCCGTGTCATTGGTCTTCAGAATGTGACCAATTAGCTAAGATCCTATCCTAAAACATGTTCAATAATCTAACTAACGAGCAAGATTGGCTGAACTCCAAATGGAGCTTGCGAAGGTTGCTCCAGCAGAACTTGTTTCCGGGGACGAGTTTTGGTTTCTGATTCTGATGTTCCTCAGATCAGCAACGAACCCTGGTTTCGAAATCTTAACATCTTTCATNAGATATATAAAAAAATTAAAATAAACAAATAGTTATAATTTAGACCTTATCATCTCTTTGCTCTATTGTTTTAAGATTGATGAATTAGATTTAAAGTTGATTAATTATTATAATATAAAAGTCTATCCCAACATAAAATCCCATCCCATTTTGTGACTGTTTTCCTGTCTTGTTAATAAAGTAATAATTAACATCTTCAAAAAGTTGATGAAAAAATTGTTGAGGATCTACACTTTGTACGAACCCTATGCAGCAAGCACGCCGAATGCGACCATTTAGTGCGAGAGAAGAAGTCTCTCGGGAAGCATTCAACAAAATAAAAACTAAAAAAAATGAAACCAAAGAACAAAAAATGACTATAAACACTGTGTGAATCCGTGTCATTGGTCTTCAGAATGTGACCAATTAGCTAAGATCCTATCCTAAAACATGTTCAATAATCTAACTAACGAGCAAGATTGGCTGAACTCCAAATGGAGCTTGCGAAGGTTGCTCCAGCAGAACTTGTTTCCGGGGACGAGTTTTGGTTTCTGATTCTGATGTTCCTCAGATCAGCAACGAACCCTGGTTTCGAAATCTTAACATCTTTCATATCAACGTTGTTGGTGAACTTCTCCACCACCTCTGACATTCGTGGCCGAAGCTTCGCTGTTTCTTGCACACAAAGTAGCCCCACCTTCAAGAACTTTATGGCCTCCTCCTCGGGAAAATTCTTGTTCAACATGGGATCCACCAGTTTTAACAGATCGTTAGATTGATAAGCTGCCCACGCCTGCAATTGTAATAATCTTCAACTTCAAACTTCAAACTTCAAACTTCAAACACACACCCACCACATTCCATTTTACCAAAACATAACAAACAAAAATCCCATTTTAATTAGTCCCTTTTCCAACGCCACAAAGCTAAAAGCAATTATGGGTTTCTTTGACTTCAATTTCATTTCATACCTTCTCCACTATGAAACGTTCAATGTCTTGATACGCATCCACCACTGCTAGGCCACTCACCATTTGCAGAAGTAACACTCCGAAGCTGTAAACATCGGATTTTCTTGAAACCTGTCCGGAATTCGCATATTCTGGAGCTAGATAACCCCTGTTCATTTATCAGAACAAACCCCTTTAGTCATGGAATCAAAAGGATTCAAATTAATGAATCAAGTCTTTTGTTTCTTAATGTTCTAACTTACAATGTCCCTGCAACACGAGTGCTGATGTAAGAAGCTTCGTCTCTCAGCAATTTTGCCAAACCGAAATCCGAAACCTTTGGGGTGAAATTCTGATCAAGAAGAATATTTTTGGCTTTGATGTCTCTGTGTACGATATGAGGCTTAAGCTCTTCGTGGAGAAAGTCAAGTCCCCGAGCCACTCCTATAGATACTTCCCTCCTTGTTTCCCAGCTGAATCTCATTCTTCTCTCCTCCGAACCTTTCAATCAAAAAGCCACAAAAACAGAACCATTATAACTTCTGCCTCCAACTGCAACCCCTAAATTGGAAACTCAGAAACACATAACAGAAATTAATCATACCTAAGAAAGTTTTGTAGAGGCTGTTGTTCTCCATATAATCATACACCAAATACCTATGAACACCTTCCACGCAACACCCTTTCAAGCTTACAAGATTTTGGTGTTTGATGTTTGCAAGTGTAGCCAATTCCGCCACAAATTCCCTCTCTCCTCGCATGGATTCCACCTCAACCGAAAGCACCTTCACAGCCACAAGAGAACCATCCAGAAGCCTCCCCTTCACAAGTCAAAACCCAAATCAGTCTCTCAGAACATAAACCTTTGGTTAATTTTTTATGAAATCACATTGCATCTCAATGCCCCAATTAAGCAAAGAACAGACTTTTCAAAAGAACGAGATCAGAGAATGTATAATTAACCTTATAGACAGAGCCAAAGCCACCTTCTCCAACCTTCTCCGAGGAATGAAAATTTCGCGTGGCCAATTTTAATTCGCCATAAGTGAACAAGCGGAAGCTCCCATCATTGATCTCTTCCTCTGGGTAGTCTGCAATGAAAGAAAAGACATCAAAGATAATAAACAAAAACCAAAGTTTTCAACTTTACGTTTGTATCAGTTGTGCTGTGTACCGCTTTCGTTTTGTTCTTTGGTGGGTGAAGAGAAGCAAGTGAAAAAAGGAATCTTCATGTCTTGTCTTGGGATAAATGTAACACTCCCTTGATATTGAGGTTTGGGGTTATATATGAAGGTTTTTGGAGGAGAGAAGAAGAAGAGCGTGTGGAGAAAAGGAGAAAGACCATGTTTGGGTAAATCGAGAATACACGGTTCATCTAAGTAATGTAGGCATTCATTATGGCTTTTGACACTTTCTTCTTTTCTTTGTTTCCCCATTTTGGATTTTTTTTTTCTCAGAGGTCTCGTGTGACGACCCATTCTTCTTGCAACTTGGAACTCTCTGAGATTAATGAGTAACCCAACAAATAATTGATTATAATATGAACAATGGAACTTTGGGAATGTGTTTTTCTTATCTCTATTGTGAAGTGACTTTGTTTTCAATCCACTTCCATGCAAAATTAACCCAAAAACATGGTAAATATATTGTGTTTTAAACGTGGTTAATTTAGATATTTTATAAATATATTGACTAACAAATAGGTAAGTAGACTTAATTTAAAACAATTCAACTTAAACGTTTGGTAGAAGAGATATTAAGAAACATATAAGTATCATTATTCAAATCACAATAGAATAGAGATTAAGTCATTTCAACGTAATAACTCTAATTCAGTGAGCAGGTATAGAGCAGTTGATATTTAATAAACAAAAACAAAAGAGAATTTTTAACGTAAAAGGAATAAATTAAAAAAAATGTGTGTGTAAAAAATTAACATTTTAGAGCAATGTTAAAACGTGATTTCTTTAAAAGAAATTGTCATTAGTTTTAGAAATTTGTACTAAAAGGTACTAAAATAGTATCACGTCACGAGTCTAAAAAAGAGAACTAGTTTCTTTCAAACGAGAGAGAACTAATATAATAAAAAGTAAAGTATCACGTTCAAAATAAAGACACTTTCGTTAATCTAATATGAATAGAGCTTTAGGTGTTCTTAATTTATTACAATTTGTAATATCAATTTGAAGGTTAAACCTATCATTTCTTTTTTTTTAAAATCAATATTTTAATTTGGTTCCTTCTACTATAAAATTTGTTAAATTGGTTAAAGTTTTGTCGTTTCTGTCATCGTTATCTCCTACATGATATTAATTTGTTTCATATGCATCACCCAATTTATAATTCGATCGCTTTGACACATTTTAATTTGGTCCACATGCATCTGACAAATTAAGAGCGCATGATGTCTTTTACAAAACACATACATATATATATATATATATATANCAATCCACTTCCATGCAAAATTAACCCAAAAACATGGTAAATATATTGTGTTTTAAACGTGGTTAATTTAGATATTTTATAAATATATTGACTAACAAATAGGTAAGTAGACTTAATTTAAAACAATTCAACTTAAACGTTTGGTAGAAGAGATATTAAGAAACATATAAGTATCATTATTCAAATCACAATAGAATAGAGATTAAGTCATTTCAACGTAATAACTCTAATTCAGTGAGCAGGTATAGAGCAGTTGATATTTAATAAACAAAAAACAAAAGAGAATTTTTAACGTAAAAGGAATAAATTAAAAAAAATGTGTGTGTAAAAAATTAACATTTTAGAGCAATGTTAAAACGTGATTTCTTTAAAAGAAATTGTCATTAGTTTCAGAAATTTGTACTAAAAGGTACTAAAATAGTATCACGACACAAGTCTAAAAAAGAGAACTAGTTTCTTTCAAACGAGAGAAAACTAATATAATAAAAAGTAAAGTATCACGTTCAAAATAAAGACACTTTCGTTAATCTAATATGAATAGAGCTTTAGGTGTTCTTAATTTATTACAATTTGTAATATTAATTTGAAGGTTAAACCTATCATTCCTTTTCTTTGAAAATCAATATTTTAATTTGGTTCCTTCTACTATAAAATTTGTTAAATTGGTTAAAGTTTTGTCGTTTCTGTCATCGTTATCTCCTACATGATATTAATTTGTTTCATATTCACCCAATTTATAATTCGATCGCTTTGACACATTTTAATTTGGTCCACATGCATCTGACAAATTAAGAGCGCATGATGTCTTTTACAAAACACATACATATATATATATATATATATATATATATAAACATTTACTTAAGGTGATCAAGTTATATGTTTAACTTAATTGACATAATTATTCTTGAGAACATAATATACTTTAAGAGTTTAAAATAAAAATTATGATATTATATAAAAAATATTATTCAATTAAAATTTCATATAATACTTTAAGAATCAATACTTTTAAATTATAGTATTCTTTTGTTTAGTGTGTTTCGATTTCAAGTTCGTGAGATTTTGTTTGTTGTTTCGATTTCAAGTTTGCGAGAGTAATATTTTTAAGGTCAATAATTATATTTTGGTATTGTATGTTTTCAAACTTGAAATTTTATCATGATTTTATTATTAAAATGTGTCTTAGAGGGTTGAAAGAGGAAGGAGTACCTTAAGTCCTAAACGATGTGAGATTATTGGATATTATCATAACATAAGCTTTCCAATCGAGGTCTAAGAGGAATGATGGTTCATCCCAACGAAGGGTTAAGGAAAATCATTTTTGTTTCTCCTAGACTATGCCAATGTTCAATCCTAGGTTCGTCGAGTGACATCGTTAGACTCAATCACAGTATCCAAGGTATTATTCGCTTTGGAGTTTAGAGCTTCATCATAGTTTTGTCTTAAAAAAATGCCTTAAGGGATTGAAGGATGAAGAACTATATAAACTTTCCCTCGACTTCTAAGTGATGTGAGACTATTGAGTGTATCAAAACATAAGCCCCATAGTCGAGGTCTAAGGAGAATGAGGGTTTTATCCTTAAAAGGTTGAAGAGAAAGGGGTATTTAAATTGTTATTAACCTCGACTACTAAGCAATATAGGACTATTAGGTGTACCGAAACAAGCCCTCAGTCAAGGGCTAAGGGAGTTTTTGTTCCCTTAGACGATGCCAATGTCTAGTTCCCAAGTCTGATAAGATAACATTGTTAGGTCAATAGCTACATCCGAGATATTGTCCCCTTTAGAACACAAAGCTCCATCATGGTTTTGTCCTTAAACGACACTTTAAAAATTTGCAAGAGAAATGATTATTTAAACTTACCTTGACCTCGATTCCTAAATAATGTAAGACTATTAGGTGTATAAAAACATTTATAATTATTATTCTTTATATTTCTTTATTTTCTTTTTTTTACCTTTAAAGTTTTATTTATTCTTGAAATTTTTAAAACAAATAGCAATTCAAGAGTTTAATAACACTAAATTTTTTACTATTAATCCTAGATGAATTGTCACCAATATATATATATATATATTTGAATTTAAATATGAAATAATTCTAATTGTTGCAAATTATTATGAGTTGATCTCATGAATTGTCACACTAGGTTAGATAACTATAATTGTTACAAATTATTATGAGATGGTTTCATGTATAAAATACAATAGGTTAGATAAAAGAAAGTTGATTTAGTTAGTACTTTGTTCATTATATTTGCGCCAAATATTTAATTATTTTTTATATGTTTTGTTTTTAATTTAATAACGTTACCTAAAATTGGATAATGTTCACCCTTTCGTTACACTAGCATTGTTGGTGTTGTTTATGGTCTTTTTCCCCTACATTGTTCATCTTCTTGTTCTTCTTCTTTGCCATCCATTGATCTACTTTGTGCATTTCATGTCTCGGTTGTAGTCGTCTTTGTCATGCAATTGTGGTTGCGGGGTGCAAAACCAAAGTAGTTATTCTCATGGTGGTGGTAATAAGGCTTGTTGCATAACCTTTATTTTCAACTCTAGAGATGTATCAATTTTTAGGACAATCAAAACTCTCATAAATGCTAGAAAGAAATTTTGGGATTGTCATAACTACAAAGTTAGATTTATAAAATTTTGGTTTGTTATATTTTATTTTTGTAATTATTTGATAATAACAAATATTGTGTTATACTTTTGTTGAGGAATAAGGTGACAATCCAAATAGGTAGGTTATTACTTCAAATGGTGCTTTGAAGATGTTAATAATAAATCTTATACAATTATTGTGAGACAAAGGAAGAAGATTGCAAATCTAGAGAAAGTTCTCCAAGTTTTGAGAAAATGGGTCCAACTATTAGTAAGAGTGATTATTTTTGTTGGTATGATTAAATCAATAAGGGTTTGTGTGTTGTTAAAACTTTCATGAGGTACAAATGTAGTGAGTGAGTACAACATATAGTTATGTAATTATATGTATGAGGTTTAAAGAATGTAGTGATTGAGTAGATCAATGGGTAATGTAATGATAAAACTACTTTCTTTGCCTCTAACCAAGTTTTGAGTTTCTTTGTGTTTCCACACACCAAAACCACCAAGATGAAAGAGGTGTTTGTTATGATTGTTGAAAACACTAAGTTGATGTAAGGGATCATTTGGGAAGGTTGAAGGTCTTGCTTCATATGGCTTGGATGGAAAACTTGTTATGTTGTGGCTCATTCCTTGACAAATGCTACATTTTTTCTTTTACCAACTTTGTGTTAACTAGGTGTTATCCGTATCTAATTCCCAAGGTTCCTTCCTACTTATTTTTAGGCCTATGAGGTAATCTTTGATGAGCTTGGGCAATACATAAGGTAATATAGGTGTACCCCTCATATGTTCTCCATTTATAAGGTAAATGATTGAGTTATAAATATCTTCATATGTTGTTTTGCTTAATCAGTGAAAAATGTAGTCAAGGTGATTCAAATTTAAAAACTTAATTGCAGAGACTGAATGAGTACATGGGATCCTACTGATCATCCATTCCTACAACTAAATTCCTTTTTGTCTAAGTAGACCACAAACTTATCACCAATGATGTTGACAAGTCTCACCTCAAACAATTTTTCTCCAAACAAAATTGCTACATACATTAGACCCACATATAAGTACATATTCCAAATTCCAAATAAAATCTAAAACAATGGCATTAGTAGTTATGTATCCAAAACCTTGTTTGTTGTGATTCATTTTCTAGTTCATTTGCTATTTTTTGGCAAAAGGAACCTTGAAATAATGTTATCTTTAATGTTTTCTTTTTCCATTTCTTCATGATATAAATTGTTATTTTCTACAACATTATTATTATTATTATTACTATTTTAGCTATTGCATTGACAAACACACTATTAAAAACCTCCCTTATGTTTTTAACAAGTGTGACAAACATAACATTAGATGTAAACTTAGATTTTGACCAAAACCTATGTCAAACACAATAGTACATCAAAACATTTCCCTTAAACAATAACAATGAAATGCACATACGTAG